ATTAATTATCCGGGCATATTGTAAATGAAAAATTAATTACCTGGGCATACTGGTGATTTTTTTTTTTTACTAAATGTTGATGATCTCATAGACTTTACCAGACAATTCTTCTCACTTTTGTAACGGGTAATTAGTGACGCTTCTTACTTACGGGTAATGAGTGACACCTAACGAATCCATTTTAGTAACACACGTATTCAGAAATTTCGTATTACAGAAAAATAATAATTTTTTTTTTTACCACTAATAGAATTGCAGTTTCAGTGAAGTGGTCGTGGAGGACCGGTTCTTGTACCAGAACACTGGTTACAGTATATGTCTCTCTGTAATACACTCATGATTTGGTCTTCTGCTGTAAACTGTTCGTATTCTTGCATTCAATGTTTGTATTCTTGCATTCACTGTTTGTATTCTTGCTTTCAATGTTTGTATTCTTTCATTCACTGTTTGTATTCTTGCATTCAATGTTTGTAATCTTGCATTCACTGTTTGTATTCTTGCATTCAATGTTTGTAATCTTGCATTCACCGTTTGTATTCTTGTATTCACTGTTTGTATTCTTGCATTCACTGTTTGTATTCTTGCATTCATTGTTTGTATTCTTGCTTTCAATGTTTGTATTCTTAAATTCACTGTTTGTATTTTTGCTTTCAATGTTTGTATTCTTTCATTCACTGTTTGTATTCTTGCATTCACTATTTGTATTCTTGCATTCACTGTTTGTATTCTTGCATTCACTGTTTGTATTCATTGTTCGTCTTCGAACGGGTGATTGTTCTTCCACGAACGGGTGAGTGTTCTGTTAGCGTTTGAATCTGTCCATATATCTTCGTTATCTTTACGTTGAACCTCTCGTTGTTATCATTTTTATATCGTATCTCCTTTTCATTATAACGATTAATCCCCCTTTGCTCTTAACGTTCATATCTAATCTCCTCATTAAGCTCATTAAGGCAGTGTCTGGGATGCTCCCGGACGCAGGTTCGAATCCTCGTCACGGCCCTTGTGGATTTGTTCATAATCTCATCTTTCTGATTAATCCATTGCTGTTAACGTTCATATCCACTCATTATCCGTACGTTGTTTCCCTTCTCAGGTCATCCTCTATTTTTAGAACTGTTTCTCCCCATTTTTTCCCATTCCTCCCCATGAGGCATTGTTTCCCCCCCCCCCCCCCGCCCATTTCGCACTGCTTTTCACCCATTTGGCAATATTTCTCTCCATTTGGCATTGTTTCTTCACAATCCGTCATATAACCTGTGCTTGCGCTTAACAAAACACAAAAGTATTTTTTCTGACGCTGTTTTCAATATGATCAACATTTTAATGACACATAAGAGGAACAGTGTTATTGGAGGTATATTGCTGGGCTGTGTCCGTCTCTAAGACACTGAAGTACTCAACTCGTTTTATTAGTTCTGTCAGAATTTTTTATTTGGGATGTTTATTGGATGTTCTCCTCCCTCTTTACGTCCTGCTGGAAGGTCCCCCCCTGCCTGCTCCTTCATCATTGAATGCCTGCACGTCCTCTTGTCCTCGTCGCTATGTAGTTATGCCTCTTTCTGAAGGCCTCCACACCCTCTTAGTCCGCGTCCCTATTAAATTATGCCTCCACACCCCTCTTAGTCCGCGTTTTTATTAAATTATGCCTCCACACCCCTCTTAGTCCTCGTCCCTATGCAGTTATGCCTCCACACCCTCTTAGTCCGCGTCCCTATTAAATTATGCCTCCACACCCTCTTTATCCTCAACCCTATCCAGTTATGTCTCCATTCTCTGAATTCCGCCAGACCCTAATATTGCCTCCCTGAACGCTACATCCCTCGGCCTCCCTCTTATTACAGTCGCTAAAAAGCCATCCATTAATCTCTCTCAACCACAATCATGCGCTTTGTGTCCAGACACCGCCGCCAGCCCTCCAGTACGTCCTCAACGGAGACTGCTCTTCCAGTTCCACAGCTTCTCCAGACACCGCCGCCAGCCCTCCAATACGTCATCAACGGAGACTGCTCTTCCAGTTCCACAGCCTCTCCAGACACCGCCGCCAGCCCTCCAATACGTCCTCAACGGAGACTGCTCTTCCAGTTCCACAGCCTCTCCAGACACCGCCGCCAGCCCTCCAATACGTCCTCAACGGAGACTGCTCTTCCAGTTCCACAGCCTCTCCAGACACCGCCGCCAGCCCTCCAATACGTCCTCAACGGAGACTGCTCTTCCAGTTCCACAGCCTCTCCAGACACCGCCGCCAGCCCTCCAGTACGTCCTCAACGGAGACTGCTCTTCCAGTTCCACAGCCTCTCCAGACACCGCCGCCAGCCCTCCAATACGTCCTCAACGGAGACTGCTCTTCCAGTTCCACAGCCTCTCCAGACACCGCCGCCAGCCCTCCAATACGTCCTCAACGGAGACTGCTCTTCCAGTTCCACAGCCTCGCCAGACACCGCCGCCAGCCCTCCAATACGTCCTCAACGGAGACTGCTCTTCCAGTTCCACAGCTTATCCAGTACAAGCCAGGGGGGGGAGGGTGCTCGGTTCTGCCTCACTGAACCCAGTAAATTATTGATCAAGGCGTCTGGGAAACAATCCCAGAGGAGGAAGTGTGTGATCCCAATAGGTTACTACCTTGTTGTGGGTCGCCTTTATGTTTCCCTGAGAGTTTTAGGAGATTGTATTCTTCCAAGGGAGGACTTAAGAGAATGACAGCTGGTTGTATTAAATGGAGAAAGATCCATTAAAAACGAAAAGTCTCCACCGGAACTGTTCGGAAATAAGGAGGGAGAAATATTAGAAATATAATAATTTGACAATTATTCAATTTTCAGCCGCGCGAATCCAGCTCGGCTCGAAAATTGCCAATCGCCAAATGTAAATCCACAAATCCTAAAATCTATTGCAGTGCTTATTTCTTAATTTTCCTGTTCCCCCGCGAGGATTCTTTTGACAGTGGAATTGAATAACAAGCTTAAATGATAGCTATTTCTCTCTGTTGTGTTAATGTTCAAAACTGCCTCTGTATATCACATATATATTGCCTGTGTATTTCCCTAAGGAACCAACACACCCATTACTGTGTGAGTATTTCCTTCGTGTTCAAACACAACTAATCCATACCTGGATAATTGTGTTATTATTTCCATCAGCTTTGAACATAACTAATCCATACCTGGATTAATTATTTCCATCAGCTTTGAACATAACTAATCCATACCTGGATAATTGTGTTATTATTTCCATTAGATTTGAACATAACTTATCCATACCTGGATAATTGTGTTATTATTTCCATCAGGTTTGAACATAACTAATCCATACCTGGATAATTGTGTTATTATTTCCATTAGATTTGAAAATAACTTATCCATACCTGGATAACTGTGTTATCATTTCCATCAGGTTTGAACATAACTAATCCATACCTGTAAAATGGAAGGATTAATCCATACCTGCATCTCTGTGAATTTTAATCAGGCTCCAGCACAATAAATCCCTAAGTCCAATATAGTGTTACCATTTACTTTAGTTTCGAGCAAAACTAATCCAATCCTGCCTTACCTGGCGAGTATTTACATCACGTGTCAGCATAACTAATATATCAGCATCAAACCGGGTGATCAGTTATGCTCATTTGATGCTAATTGTGATCATGCTGCTGGAACTAGACTAATCGTTTGAATAATTTTATAAAATATTTTTTCCTTGTTATTATATGGAAAATAATTTAATTTACTTCTTATTATAATGTATTTTTGTTATTATAATTGATGTAAATAAAACGCCACATAAATTATCAGTTTCCTTTTTAATATGAATGTGCGTCTTAAAGTTTACTTCTTAACTTTCTCAGTCTACAGTGTTAAGACAATCTCCAAGTAGCTTGATGATGTAACGAAAACATGACGAATCGATGAGAAAGTTTTAGGGCGATGAAATGGGATCGAATCTGCGTCACTGGACTTTCCAGTCGGTTGTGTGTGTGTACTACGGGAGTCCTGAGGTGCATCTTGGATCCTATTGTATATCCTTAGTAAGATCTCAAGGATGGTGGACGCTCATATTCCCAGAAAGTCCAAATGTAAAGTTTCTTTACTTTAGTATTTTATCCTGGTTTCATGTGTTCATATCCGAGCTCCTTGTGTTCATGTCCCAGCTCCTTGTTCTCATACCCCAGCTCCTTGTGTTCATGTCCCAGCTCCTTGTCCTCATACCCCAGCTCCATGTCCTCATACCCCAGCTCCTTTTCCTCATTCCCCAGCTCCATGTCCTCATACCCCAGCTCCTTTTCCTCATTCCCCAGCTCCATGTCCTCATACCCCAGCTCCTTGTCCTCATATCCTCATCAAAATAGTGATATTGGCTTACTCCTTTCTATTGACATGTAGCTTACCTTCCATTGACTTCAATGTGCAATGGAAGTAATGGTTGGTGGCTTCTCATGTTCATCAAGGGTTCAGTGGGGTGTCGTGAACATGTGTGTAACGTTGAACTGCTGTCAGCACTATGCCCAGGTGTGCGACACAGTTGCATCCTATTTACTCTTGGTTGTAAATGTTACAGGTGTGTTAGGTTGTGCGATTGTGTTCGTCCTGGGATTGTCAATGGGCAACTGGTTTAGATTGTGTTCGTCCTGGGATTGTCAATGGGCAACTGGTTTAGATTGTGTTCGTCCTGGGATTGTCAATGGGCAACTGGTTTACTAGCAAACAGCCTTGATTGGTATTCTGTTTTAGGGCTGATTCATGATAATCAACATATTTAGATTTTGAATTAATATTAGAAATGTGTGAAAGTAGTTATTTTACTCGGTTTTATTGGCTTATATATTGACTCTTCGGGTGCGGCTTTTGTTCAGTCATGTTCAAAAAAGTTCGATGAACGTCTCTTGAAATAGGTTCACGTGTGTCTTCCATGAGGTGGGTTTTTGGTAAGCTGTTAGAGTGACGGAAACTGTCTTGCATGAGTCTGTAGGTACATGGATCCCCAGCGCCTCTCTGTGGCGATACATGATCACGCCAGAAATTCCAAACCTTCATTGTCCAAACTCACTCCGGATTTGGCCATTAACTCGTAGTTCAGTGAGATCAACTTCCTGCCAGCCAACAGACTCCCAGCCCACAACCACCCAGCCCACAACCTGCCAGCCCACAGTCTCCAAGCCCACAGCCTCCCAGCCCACAGCCTCACAGCCCACAGCCACCCAACCCACAGCCTGCCAGCCCACAGCCTCCCAGCCCACAGCCTCACAGCCCACAGCCTCACAGGCCACAGCCACCCAGCCCACAGCCTCCCAACCCACAGCCCCCCAGCCCACAGCCTCCAAGCCCACAGCCTCCCAGCCCACAGCCTCCAAGCCCACAGCCTCCCAGCCCACAGCCTCACAGCCCACAGCCTCCCAACCCACAGCCCCCCAGCCACAGCCTCAAAGCTCACAGCATCAGAGACTGAATGTTTATGTACGAAAAACACCCCACACATGAATCAAAACACTTGTACGAAATAAACAAATGCCAACAGAAGTCAAACACCTAACCTATCCTATCCTAGGTTTAATCTATAAACAAAATAATACACATTATTAATGTTATATTTCCGAAAACATTGTTTTTCATTATTCAGTAATGCATGAAATTTGACGAATGTGTATTTAGCGTCGGCTCACAGCTTGGTCGAGGATAGCCAGAGGTGTACACGTATGTACAGAGCTTACCACTGTACAGGTGGGTGTACAGATATGTACAGAGCTCACCACTGTACAGGTGGGTGGACAGGTATGAACAGAGCTTCGCAATTAACAGGAGGGTGACGGGGTGTGTACAGAATTTGTCACTTTGCAGGTGAGTATTCAGGTATGTTCAGAGCCTACCAATGTTCATAATAGCTGTTCAGATATGAACAAATCTTGCCATTGAACAGGTAGGCATACAGTGAAGTACAGTGCCTGCCACTGTACAGGATGATGATGGGGAGGGACCAGTGCCTTGTCACTGTACAGGATGATGATAGGGGGTGTGTACAGTGCCTGTCACTGTCCAGGATGATGATAGGGGGTGTGTACAGTGCCTGTCACTGTCCAGGATGATGATGGGGTGTATACAGTGCCTGTCACTGTACAGGATGATGATAGGGGTGTGTACAGTGCCTGTCACTGTACAGGATGATGATGGGGTGTAAACAGTGCCTGTCACTGTACAGGATGACGATGAGGTGTGTACAGTGCCTGTCACTGTACAGGATGATGATAGTGGTGTGAACAGTGCCTGTCACTGTACAGGATGATGATGGGGTGTGTACAGTGCCTGTCACTGTACAGGATGATGATAGGGGTGTGTACAGTGCCTGTCACTGTACAGGATGATGATAGGGGTGTGAACAGTGCCTGTCACTGTAAATGATGATGGGGTGTGAACAGTGCCTGTCACTGTAAATGATGATGGGGTGTGAACAGTGCCTGTCACTGTACAGGAGAGTGTTCAGATGTGCAGTGATGCGTCTTCGTCCACTTCTCCATTTGATATTTAATATAGCAAGCTCGTCAGAACATAAATAAAATCCTGTTTGTGTCGCCATGGCGACCAGCTATGAGAGGGGAGATGAGAGCTGAAGGCGTGGGAGATGAGAGCATGGAGAGAGGAGAGAAAGGAAGGAGGTGGGGGTGGGTGAGAGGGATGAGAGGGTAGAGAGGGGACAGGAGGGGTGAGAGAGAGGAGGAGGGGGAGAGGAGGAACGGTACTGAGGGAATAGAGAGGGGGAAGATAAACCAGGAAACTAGAATGAAGCAGAGCGAGAAGGATAAGATTATACCAAATTGGATGGAAATGATCCAGAGTGGTATAGCCGGCTTCCCTCTCGCTATATACACGTTCAGGACAGGTCTGAAATTTTCTGTCATGGTTTATACCTGTGTTCATGGTGTAGGCCTTTCTAAGGCCCTATATTCCAAAACGTAGTTTTCTGTGTGTTTGTGACGTTTGTGTGTGTTCGTGTTTGTGTGTGTTTGTGTGTGTTTGTGACGTTTGTGTGTGTTCGTGTTTGTGTGTGTGTGTGTGTGTTTGTGTGTGTGTGTGTGTTTGTGTGTACTCACTTATTTGTGCCTGCAGGCTCGAGCCTTGGCTCTTGGATCCCGCCTTTCTGTCCGCCGGTTGTTTAAAGCAATGACTTCTGTTCTTCTTCTTCCCTATCATACCTAGTTTTAAAGCTATTAATAGTTTATGCTTCCACAATGTGCTCCTTTAGTTCATTCCACTTCCCCACTACTCTCACGCTAAAAGTAAACTTTCTAACATCTCTATGACTCCTCAAAGTTTCCAGCTTCCACCCCATGTACTCCTTGTTCTGTTGGTATTCCGTGTGAACATTTTGTCTATTTATACTCTGTCAATCCCACTAAATATTTAATGTGCTGCTATCACAGCTCCCCGCTCCCTCATTTTTTTTCGAAACGTCGTCAGGTTCAGTTCCTTCAGTCGCTCTTCATATCCCATCACTTACAACTCTGGGACGAGCCTCGTCGGATATTTATGAACCTTTTCCAGTTTCCTGATATGTTTCTTTAGGTGGGGGCTTGGTTACCTTGTAGTTATTTTGCGATGATTTCGGGGCTTAGCATCCCCGCGACCCGGTCGTCGACCAGGCCTCCTGGTTGCTGGACTGGTCAACCAGGCTGTTGGACGCGGATGCTGGCAGCCTGACGTATGAATCACAACCTGGTTGATCAAGTATCCTTTGGAGGTGCTTATCCAGTTCTCTCTTGAACACTGTGAGGGGTCGGCCAGTTATACCCCTTATGTGTAGTGGAAGAGTGTTGAACAGTCTCGGGCCTCTGATGTTGATAGTTCTCTCTCAGAGTACCTGTTGCACCTCTGCTTTTCAACGGGGGTATTCTGCACATCCTGCCATGCCTCCTGGTCTAATGTGATGTTATATCTGTGTGTAGGTTTCGGACCAGCCCCCCTCTACTATCTTCTCGAAATAACTCGACGACTCCTGACCACGGAAAATCTTATCGCCATAGTATTTGTTGATTTGCAATATCTTTGCAATCTGACTAGCATAAAGATGATTGAGAAGCGGACAGCCAGGGCTCCTGAGTGTGATCTAAGCGCGCCTCCGCCCTCACACAACCACAGCATTACGCTAATATCAACAGAATAGCAATTAGGTGATTTAACACCCTATTAGCCGTCAGTAGCGCCAATTAGTCTCGTTAGCTCCAATATTAACTATTCGCACAAGTGACCTTACTCCTGTGATCCGGTGTGTATGTTGGATGTAGCCCACTCTGATAAACTCACATGTGGAGTTGCTATATATGTTTGCAGGTGTAGCATGTTCATACATGCTTGCAGGTGTAGCATGTTCATATATGCTTGCAGGTGTAGCATGCCCCTCTATACTTGCAAGTGTAGCATGCTCCTCAATGCTTGCAGGTGTAGCATTCTCCTCTATGCTTGCAGGTGTAGTATTTTCCTCTATGCTTGCAGGTGTAGTATTCTCCTCTATGCTTGCAGGTGTAGCATGCTCCTCTATGCTTGCAGGTGGAGCATGCTCCTCTATGCTTGCAGGTGTAGCATGCTCCTCAATACTTGCAGGTGTAGCATGCTCTTCTATGCTTGCAAGCGTAGCATGCTCAACAATGCTTGCAGGTGTAGTATTCTCTTCTATGCTTGCAAGTGTAGCATGCTTCCATATGCTTGCAGGTGTAGCATGCTCCTCTATGCTTGCAGGTGTAGCATGCTCCTCTATGCTTGCAGTGAAGCATGCTCCCCTATGCTTGCAGGTGTAGCATGCTAATCAATGCTTGCAAGTGTAGCATGCTACCCTATGCTTGCAGGTGTAGCATGCTCCTCAATGTTTTCGGGTGTAGCATGCTACCCTATGCTTGCAGGTGTAGCATGCTCATCTATGCTTGCAAGTGTAGCATGCTACCCTATGCTTGCAGGTGTAGCATGCTCCTCTATGCTTGCAGGTGTAGCATGCTACCCTATGCTTGCAGGTGTAGCATGCTCCTCAATACTTGCAGGTGTAGCATGCTACCCTATGCTTGCAGGTGTAGCATGCTACCCTATGCTTGCAGGTGTAGCATGCTACCCTATGCTTGCAGGTGTAGCATGCTCCTCAATACTTGCAGGTGTAGCATGCTACCCTATGCTTGCAGGTGTAGCATGCTACCCTATGCTTGCAGGTGTAGCATGCTCCTCAATACTTGAAGTGTAGCATTCTACCCTATGCTTGCAGGTGTAGCATGCTACCCTATGCTTGCAGGTGTAGCATGCTCCTCAATGCTTGAAGTGTAGCATGCTACCCTATGCTTGCAGGTGTAGCATGCTCCTCAATACTTGCAGGTGTAGCATGCTCCTCAATACTTGCAAGTGTAGCATGCTCCTCAATGCATGCAGGTGTAGCATGCTCCTCAATACTTGCAGGTGTAGCATGCTACCCTATGCTTGCAGGTGTAGCATGCTCCTCAATACTTGCAGGTGTAGCGTGCTCTTCAATACTTGCAGGTGTAGCATGCTCCTCAATACTTGCAGGTGTAGCATGCTACCCTATGCTTGCAGGTGTAGCATGCTCCTCAATGCATGCAGGTGTAGCATGCTCCTCAATACTTGTAGGTGTAGCATGCTACCCTATGCTTGCAGGTGTAGCATGCTCCTCAATACTTGCAGGTGTAGCGTGCTCCTCAATGCATGCAGGTGTAGCATGCTCCTCTATACTTGCAGGTGTAGCATGCTACCCTATGCTTGCAGGTGTAGCATGCTCCTCAATGCATGCAGGTGTAGCATGCTACCCTATGCTTGCAGGTGTAGCATGCTATCCTATGCTTTGGGTTCAGTGAGTGAACAGTAGACCCAGTGAATGAATAGTAGTTTCTGAGCGTGAATGATTGCCCCTACTAGAAAACTGTTGGTCCAGTGTATAGTGGGTCCTATGTGTGAGTGATTGATGACCAGTGAATGAATTATGGGTTATGAGAATGAATGGTACGTCCTGTGACTGAATGGTACGTCCTGTGACTGAATGGTACGTCCTGTGACTGAATGGTACGTCCTGTGACTGAATGGTACGTCCTTTGACTGAATGGTACGTCCTGTGACTGAATGGTACGTCCTGTGACTGAATGGTACGTCCTGTGACTGAATGGTACGTCCTGTGACTGAATGGTACGTCCTGTGACTAAATGGTACGTCCTGTGACTGAATGGTACGTCCTGTGACTAAATGGTACGTCCTGTGACTGAATGGTACGTCCTGTGATTCAATACTGGGATTTAAGACTGAGTGGTACGTCCTGTGACTGAATGGTACGTCCTGTGACTGAATGGTACGTCCTGTGATTCAATACTGGGATTTAAGACTGAATGGTACGTCCTGTGATTGAATGTTCAGTCCTGTGATTCAATACTGGGATTTAAGACTGAATGGTACGTCCTGTGACTGAATGTTCAGTCCTGTGATTCAATACTGGGATTTAAGACTGA